TAAGCACTCTACGTGCAATTGTCAGCAAAAAAGTCATATCAATGAAAGTAGAAGTTTATTACTCTGCACCTCTCAGCAAGTTGGAGATTAAACATGAAGCCTCCTATCTAAAAACACATAGGGTGTAGTAGTATATTCAAGCTAGAAGGTCTCTCACAATGATACACAATCCCAATATAGCCCCACTAAATAAAAAGAACAATAAAATGCAATAATATATCTTCGAAAACAAAGATTGATCATACAGATGAGTAGCGTTAAACTTTGATGTATGGCTTCCTCGATTCTGAAATCCTACTTTGAGGATTCTGGAAAATTTCAGAGGGTTCTCCACCTTTTCTTGTACAAGTTCCACAAAACAATCTGGTAAACTAAGGACAATTTTTGGATGACCCCTACCAGATTCCAAAAGCAAATCTCTTATCTGCAATGAATAATCAAATAATGTTAGGCCCCAGCTCTCAAGAAAAATCAAAAGTACCAAAGGAGAAAAAGAAACAGTGAAATGGCAAGATAGTACAGAATCTTGGAAGCTGGGACCTGTTCATTATAAAGCTCATAGACTGAAACTGAGAATCTAAATTTAGATGTGGAAGTTGCATCTGAATTGGATAAATCAAACAGCTCCTCAAAGCATCGAGCATATAAACCACGATCATGACTAGACCCTTCCTGCAGGAAGGTTTAGGATCATCACTCATCAGAACTATTATGAAAATCAAACTGTTAGTCACATACAGAAAATACCCTGGCTAACGGAATATTCGGTAAAGATCTATGCAGTTTAGCATTGCATGACTCATATATATATATATATATATATATATATATATATATATATATATATATATATCTGTGTGTGTGTGTGCAATGTATGTGTGGAAGAAATAAAAATGAATCTGGTGCTATAGATTGTGAGATCTAAGGGTCAGGATTGCATCAAAATTAGGTGCAACAAAATGAATCTGGTGTATGTGCTTTTAAACCTAAATTCAGATTCTAAAATGAAGTAAATTGTTTAAAATTAACAGAGCCATTGAAATAGAAACAAACAGAGTTCTAATTATAGATGTTTTTAAAAATTAAAGTCAGATTCTTAAACGAAGTAAATGTTTTCAAATTTGACCTAGTAAATATCGGAGTAATTTAAATTTAAACAAAAAACAATTCAATTTTCAAAAATGTTATAACCTAACTTTTGGTACTAAAATGAAGCAGGTCTTTTAAAAATAACAGAGTCATGGAAATAGAAATAAAGAAGTTTTAATTTTTTATTTTTTTAAACCTAAATTAAGATTCTTAAATCAAGTAAATGTTTTAAAATATCACTCTGTAAACCGATAGAATTGGAAAAAATCAAAACTTCTTAAAGGGATTGACGTTTCCGCCGGTAATCCTAATTGAAAAAGAGGTGAAATTCAATTGTCAATGATATTAAAAAAGGTGTGAAATTTAATTAGCAAAAGTAAGAAATCTGTAAATGGGATGATTGATGAATCCAAAGACAACACTGATATGAAGGGGTATGTAAAAGTACGAAGAGAAGGGGAATACCTGCATACTATGAGAGTTGAAGGAGGACGAAGATAAGAATGGGCTTGTCCATCGTGGGATGGTGAGCAACGAATAAGCATCGAGGGGCGGTGAGCAACGAAATAGTAGGGGCTTAGTGGGCAAGTAGAATAGACGAAAGGTTGGTGAACAGTGAACAGAAGTGCCCTTAAATGTGGACAAGAAACTCTTGCCTAGGGTAAATAGTACACTCGTTACATTTTGACAAAAAAAAAGGTATGTAAGAGTAACCTTCTTAGGCAAGAAACTCTTGTCTAGGGTGAACAGTGCACTCGTTTCATTTTGAAGAAAAAAAGGCAAGAGTAACCTTCTTAGGCCCTTATAGTATATATTATTATTACTAGCGAGGCACACACTACGTGTGTGGGTGCCCATTTTTTGTACAATGACTTAGCAAAAGTATATAAATCAAAAAATAAAGTGAGAAGGGGTTATGAAGTGCCTGAGCACAAGCACATACACTTAAAATTAAGAGAATGCACACATATACATGACAGGGTGTAAGTTGTTATGCCAAAAACATTCTCACCTAACCACAAAGATATTTGAAAACTTTTTTTTGTCCAAAACACAACATTCCATTACTACTTACACTACGTTTGGTTTAAAGAATTTGGAATAAAAAGAAAAGAAAATGATTATGTTTCATCTATATCTATATCTATATATATACAATGGTAGGAGGCTAAAATGAATAGTGTTCCCGCCAAAATTTATTGGGCCGGGTCACTGTCATTGGGCTGTATTTGGGTCGGGTAACTGGACATGGGGTTCTGCAATTGGGATGTCCATTGGGTCAATCTTGGGATCCATTTCTTTATCATATTTTACCGTGCAAAATTAGTTTTTGTCCAATGAGCATTTAATGTATATCAAATACTCCCTCCGTCCATTTTTAATGTTCGTACTTTCCTTTTTCGTCCGTCCACAAATAAAGTTCATGTTTCCTTATTTGGTAATTTTTTTATTAAAAAGACTAAATTACCCTTCCTTATTCTCTCCTTCCTTCTCTTCTCTTTTCTTCTTATTTTTCTTTCTTTTTTTCTTCTGTGCCGTCACACCTACTTTTTTCTCATTCTTCTTTCCTTCTTTCTTTCTTTAATCATTCCCCCTTCTCAGTTTTCCTTTCCCTTTTCTCCTTCCGATTTTTTCTTCTTGTTCTTTCACCCCTTCTGATTTTTCCTTCCCCTTTTCCTTCTTTCAATTTTTCCTTTTTCTTCTTTCCCCTTTCTAAATTTTCCTTTCTTCATCTACCTCCAATTTTTCCTTTCTTCATCATCTTCTTCTTCCCCCTCCACATTTTCCCTTTCTCTTCTTCTTCTTCTTCTTCTCCTCCTACTTCTTGTCCGTCAGATCTGAAGAAAATTAATTCAGATCTATGAATCGACGAACGATCTTCTTTAGATCTTTTTTCACCTTCATCTTCTTCAATGTCGATGAAGAGATCCGGTTCAGATCTTTTTCATCTTCTTCATCTCCTTTAGATCTGTCCGATTCTTACACCTTGGTGCAAGAACAGAATGCTCGACTTTATTTGTCGGAATTTCTCTCTCGCTGGAAATTCACTAAATTTTGGCTTGCCGAAATTTCTCTCAGGAAGGAAGAGGTTGGGCGACAAGAGCTCGGACGGTCGGACCAGGCCTCATTAATCAGAACTGGTGTAAAAGTGGGGTAAGGAGGAGGAGGGTATTTTGGTAAAGTCAAAGTAAATTTTAACTTTTATTAAACTCTGTGCTCGGTCAAACCCTGAACATTAAAAATGGACAGAGGAGTAGGAAATATTACAAATCTTCTTTTCCATACTATAATCCATTTCAAAAGAAGAATGGAGTACCTTCACTAATTTAAATAAAACAAAACAAAAAAATCTGTGTCTTAACATACACATGCAATGATTTAGAGCACCCGCATTGGATGGTGGAGTAAAGGGAGGACTACTCCTCTCTTCCACATCAGATTTTGTGGACCCAGGATACAACTCCTCCATTTACTCCTCCTTATCTCTTACATCAAAAGGATTACTAAAATATTATCCATTATATTCCTTAAATGGTTTTTTATTAAATATTTATGCTATGTATAATTATATGAATTTACAAATTAATGATAAATATAATTGTACTTCATTTTTATGGTTTTGATGATAAAATTGTACTACCTCCGTCCTAGAGTATTTGTCCACTTTCATTTTTGCACACCATCCAATGCACTTCTTTAATCCATTTTATCTTGTAATTTGTATATTAAAAATTATAGAAATTATATATTAATAATCTACGGAGTATATGTTAAGACAAATCAAACAAGATCACACATGACTGTATTTAGGCTTACACATTGAGAGAATTTGATGAGTCAAAGTGCTTAGATGAACAGTTCCAAAAGTCAAAAGTGGACGAATATAGCGGGACGGAGGGAGTAATTCATTAATAAAATTAAAAAGTTAATTAAATTTATTTTAACAAAAAATATTTAATTTAATTATTCTAAAATATTTAAAAATTATTTATAGATTAATATTAAATTAAAATATTTAATTTAATTTAATTATACTAAAAATTAAATTAAAACATTTCTACTCCGTATTAAGTTTGAACCCATCCTATATGTGAAAATTACGGAGTACCCAATACTCCGTAATTGTTAAAAAAAGTGTTATCCAAATGAACTCATGCCAAGTGGCATCCCAGGATTTGCCTTTTCATTCCAATTTTTCTCTTCTCCGCGGAGGACTGCTTCTCCGCTTCTCTCTCGAATTTCACGCCGGAGGAGTTCTCCTCCTGCTCTCCTTCATCTGATGTAGTTAGTCCTCCTGGAGGACTTCTTCTTCTCCAGCTTAGTGAAATTCCAGCACTCACAAGCAAATAACCACACCAGCAAACAAACAAAGGCAAAACAGTTATTGAAGGAAGTGTTGCAGCTTTAGAATACGCAGGATGCTGCAACACCTTCTTCCACAGTCACACACACAAACAGAATAAAACACACCAAGACACAAAGATTTGTTTACGCAGTTCGGAGCAGTATCTCCTACGTCTGCGAGGCCCACATCCGTGTAATAGCCTTTCCACTAGATCAACGTAAGAATTACACTATCAAACTTCAATAGAACCTTCTAATGAATCTGATTTGTCTACTTACGAGATCTGACAGCAAACTCGGTTTGTGTCTTCACCAGGCCTATTACACCTTCTTCTTGCTCTGTACAAAGGATGTGTTTCTGACCTTTGCTCAGCCCACCAGGTTGCAACAGCTGAACAATATCTAGAGAAGATCCATGACTGATCTTCTCATGCACTTTTCTCGCAGGTTTCTATTCTGATCGGAATTGTGGTGATCTCACGCTCTCTTCTTGAATATTCTGAGTGTATTTCTGCGCCCCTCTTTCTTCACGGCTAACTCCCTTTTATAGGGTGTTCATAACCCTAGTGGAGATGATACGAAACTCTTCAGGTGATAAGCTTGAACACCAGACACTCCTAGCAAGTCAGGACTTCTTCCACAGATTTGCATTGCTTCACGTGTCCAGGAATTAACCAAGTCTTGAAGTAGTTCCCCGTAGCCAATCTTGAAGGATGCGTTTCTCTTGACGCTGGACACCTCACGAAACCTTCTTTATATAGAACACTCGATATACGCAGAGTCCATATTGTATAGAAACTCTACACCATGACTGATAGGATGCTACAGCCCTTAACACAGACACACTACCAGTTCTACAGAAGGGTTTTGTCAAAAAATAATGCCAACATAAACTATATATCTATGTTAACTAGTTGGAGCTAACAATCTCCCCCTTTGGCAATTTTTTGACAAAAACCTCTATTCAGCCGTTTTTGAACCTCTTCTCCCCCTTTTTTGCATAAAAAATGCCAAAGATATTTTATTGAAAATCACCAAACTAGGGGGCAAAAAGAGAAGAGTAGTATTCAATACGGTCAAGAATAGGTACATGATAAGTTCATTTTGTTCTTATTTTATTCTACATATTTTAAGCGTTATTGCACGAAAATAGTAATAAATTTACCCATTGAAAGTGTCTACTAGTGACAAAACTGATGTTTTGTCTCAGGAAGAATAAAATACAGGTTCTAAATTAAATTAAGTGGATTTGTCAATTTTATGTACATTGGATAAAAAGTTTTAGATTTTAAAGATCATAATACTTTGGAGGTAGAAATCAGTGTCTGGGAGCCAATTGGGCCGATGCGGAACAACTTTGGGCCCAAAATCACGAGAAACCGCAATTGGAAGCAAATTGGGCGCTGGATTTGGGTCTTGGGCGTCCAAAGTTGGACGCCCGAAGAGGCTGGACGCCCAAGCTATCTGGTGACACGGCCTTGCCACGCGGCACAACGCGACTGGACGGAACACGTATTTTGGGTACGGGCGTCCAAAGTTGGACGCCCAGGGAGTTGGACGCCCGTACTTCCTGCCCTATAAATACAGCGTTCCTCTCATTCATTCCACACCATCTCACAACCCATTTCGGGTTTCTCCACTATTTTAGTCAATATTTCATTATATATTAGTTTAGTTATTATTTCTAAGTATTTTTGGAGGAATTCTACTCCCGATCAGTTCTGTTCCGCTTTTACGGAAGTTGTAAGTTTTCTTTATTTAATAAAATGCTGTTTTAATTCATGTTTGCATAGTATGAGTTAGGGTCCGGATCTCTGGGTCCGGACTAGTTTGGTTGTTTATTTTTTGATGTTAAATTAATGTTGGAATGGTTAATCTATTGTTCTTGCCTTATTTAGTTAATTA